TGAGTGGATGATGGTGCAGCTTAAAATGCTTTTTTTTCTTCTCTTTTCAAGAATGTCACCTTGTTGCAGCTTGTTGCTCGAGGGCAGAATTGAAAACACAAAAGAGTTTCATATTACTAATGAGAACCAGCAGGTCTCTCTGTGGTCAGCTACCACACACACACACACACACACACACACACACACACACACACACACACTTACACAGTTTTCATCCATTAATCTGAAACTGAGACACACACGAGGAGTTCAGCGTCTGATTTGCTTCTCAGAATGGCTCCATGTGGAGAACTCTCTGGGTGAAAACATGCTCTGAAGAGATTTTTTTTTTCAAAGGTGTTTCTTGTTGACATTATTAAACCAGGGCTGCTGTCATGAAATTAGGAGGAAAAAATGTTTCCATGACACTGCAACACCTCATCGCCTGACGGGCTGTCCTTCCTGTCATGTTACATATGAAACACACGGTGACGAGCTGTTTGTGCCAACCTGCCGATCCTTTAACAGGAGGCCGGTTCGTTTAATGTTTGTAGACGAGTGCATTTCTACACTTAAGGCTCTTTTGTAACTTGTTTTTGCTTGCTTTTGTCCGTTTTTTCATTTCATTACTTAACACACCCTCTAAAGCAATGGATTATGACATTGTGCAATTCTGGACAGCACTAGAACCGTCACTGAGCTCATGTAGAAGCACTTGTTGATGCAACGCTGCTTAACGTCAGCTGAGTCATTGTAAGCACACAGAAAAGGGCTCAAGCTGTCCTCAAATGGAAACAAAAACCACATAAAATAAACTGATCAAAACCAACATTTAAACTTTAAATTTAAAGATTTTTGGACTGAGAGCTTAGTGCTGTGCTCAACTGGGAATATTTGCTTAAAAAACAGAGAAATGATCCGACATGGTATTTTTTGGACACATCAGTTCTCAGCCAGTTGTGTTACTGTGCTACAAATTCTCATTGCAAAATTAAGAAATAGCTCCAAATTGCCTTCTAACAGCCGCCTGGCAGTATTTTACTAGTTCAGTGTTGCAGATTAAAGGATAATGTTAAGGTCCATATCAGGGGTGTCTAACCCTGGTCCTCGAGGGCCACCGTCCTGCATGTTTTACTCGTTTCCCTGCTCCAACACACCTGATTCAATGGTTGAATCACCTCTTCATATTCTGAAGAAGCCTGTTAATTACACTTTAATTCAAATCAGGCACGTTGGAGTAGATGAACATCTAAAACGTGCAGGATGGTGGCCCTCCAGGAGCTGTGTTGGACCCCCCTGACTTATGTGATATACGATTTATCGGTTTTACAAATCTCAATAAATAGTTTAACCAGTTCCATTCACTAAAATAAAAAAACTTGTTTGGTTTTTATTTGCGTATGAACTCCCACATATGGTCTGATCAGACCAGCCAGACTGTGTGTGAGCCAGGCACTCAATCCCCCGTCCTCCTTGTTGGCCAATCCCACCTTATCTTACCCACACACACCTTTCCCCCCCGCTGGATAAAAAAGAGCACGCTCACTTAACAAATACAACAGTGGATCATTTTAAGGCAGCAGTAAAATATTTCATCATTTCCTGTGATCAATATGAGGCTGTTTGGTTCATTTGGTCAACATGACCTTTCAGAAACTAAATATTACTCCTGCTCTGGAAAGTTTTTCATTTAACTTTTATTTTAGTTGGTTGAAGCAGCTCCTTGATGACCTTCTGACATTTCAGTGTGCGTCTGTTTTAAAATTTGTAAGTATGAGCGTGAAAGGTATGCACTTTTAATCAGGGGTTGCCACACCAGGCGAACTTGCACAAACATTTGGGGATTGTTTTACCCTGGAAGCCCTTCCTGATGCAACCTGCTCTAACCTGCAGCCTTGTGGTTACGAGACCGTGGCCCCAAATGCGCTTTCCTTCATATAACGATTGTTGTGCGATGTTTCTAAATCATTCTCGCAATTATCCTTTGTTCTTGCATGTTTTTTTGGCACATAACTTATTCCGCAATTTTTGTGCTATTTCAACAATTCGTATATCAAAACGTTCGGCTCATTCAGGACATTCCCGCTGAGACGTTTGGTATTTGTGGAATTTTGACTTTTTTAAATATTTAGCTTTTTCTGCCATGTTTTTCTCATTGAAAGTGAATGGTGCTCTCTCCACCTTCACACTGTTTGTGCTCATTTCAGCTTTTGTTATGGGTCAGCTTTTTTCAGCCGTTTAAGCTTTTTATTCTTTAGCTTTTATGGGGAGTGATGGCGAAGAGGTTAGAGAAGGTGGGCCTGTGATCGGAAGATCGTTGGTTCAACTCCTGGTACCGACAACATCAAAATGTGGGCGTTCATATGTCTCTCTTGTAAATGAGTCCCCAAGGCTCATTGGGATTAACCTGTATAAATAAAGTTTGAATGGGTGGGATGAGTGAAACACCCACACCTGCCTCCACCCTCATTTGCCCCACTCTGGGCCCTTGAGCAATGCCCTTAACCCCCACCATCTGCTCCCCCAGGCGCCCTATAGCAGCTCTCTGCTCCTCTCAAGAGAGCTGTGGTGGCTCGGTGGTCTGTTGATGCATCATGAAGGGCATCCCGTGTAAAAACAATCGCCAAGTCTTTGTGCGACTTCTCTTCGCTGTGGTGACCCATGAAGCCGAAAGGAAAAAAACAACTCCCTTTAGCTTTTGCCTGCTAAATTCAGAGTTTTGTTGTAATTTCAGTTTCCTTCCTTTTAGCTTATTTATATTAATTTCAGCATTTTTTTTGTTGTTGCTGCTTTTAGTTTATTTCTACTAATTTCAGCGCTTTAGTTTTTTTTTTTTTTCAGCTTCTTTTTGCTAACTTAATCCTTTGCATGCTCATTTCTGCTAAATTCAACTTATTTTCTGCCTTTTCAGCTACTTTTTGTGTTTTTTGGCCAATTTTAGCTTTTTTGTCCTATTTTTTAACTAAATGTCACCTTTTGTTTATCTTTCTAATACAGTAATTTCAGTTTTCATGCTCCTTTCAGCCTCCTTCTGCTAATTTGAGTTTTTTTTTTTTGTATCTTCTGTTTATTAGTTTTGCTCATTTCCAACGTTTGTAATCAGCTTTTCTACACATTTCTGCCATTTATACGGCTTTTATTTTCCTGCTCTTCAAATTCAACTCAACTCTTCTTCAGCAGCTCTCAGCAAAAGTCATTCAGCAACAATTCACAATGCATTTTTGCAGTCTCTTAATTTTATGTTTTTATAAAAACGTGACTCAAAAAACTCAAAAGACATTCAATACATTTCAACAACTTTTAATGTTTTCCGCGTTATCTTTCACAATGTGAGTGTTTTCTCTTACAGCCTTTTTGCATGTCGACAGAATCTTTAGAAATACATCCACCTGGACAAGCTGTACTTACGTTTTTCGCTTTCAGAAAGCCTTTCGGCAAAAGACAAAGTTTATACAGTAACACAGAATACAAATGCGTCAAAGGGAAGCGTGGGTAAACACACAGCACAACCAGGAAGAGCACAGAGCATCATGAGACAAATCAGTGACACAAAAAAAAACAGAACACAAAACTGAATATAATAGAAAATAACAATATTGATGAAATAATAATAATAATAAAATACTAACAGTAGTATACAAGAGAAAGAGACAACTTTACATTTATACATAGTGGCCAAAGGCAGGCACCAGGAAGTATAACAGTTTTAAATACTGTATAAATCTCCTGCAGCTACTGTTGCTAAAACAAATCAGTGCGGAGGTGAGGGTGGGACGTTGGCCAACGTGAAGACGAGGAACAACACAATAAAGAGGCACCTTATAAAAAGGGAGCAGCTTTGCTGGTTGCGAGTAGAGACACTTGGGTCGTCTAGAAATCGAGATGTTTTTTTATTTTATTTTGACTGGCAAACAAGGCTTGTGCTCGTCAAGTTCTGCCAACAGCCTTGACTGATATGTGCATAACTGGCCTCAACTGGTGAACGTCAAGAACGATCTCAATCTGAAACCAGGACTGTTGAGAAACCTTCAACTTTGTGTCTTTCTTCTTTACAAGTAGTGGCTCACAGTTTTAGTGAAAAAAAAAAAAAACAAACTTTTGAGGCATTTTTCTCACTGAGGAACTGTACAAAGATTAAAAAAAAAAAACAACAACCCTTACTTTTATCACCCCCGGTTCTGGGAAAAAAAAGGGTATAATGTAAATAAAAACAATACGATGTCCCATATTTCACTGACAATTGGACAAAGTAAACATGTTAAATGTTGTAACTAAGCAATTATACATTTAAAAGGTGGGTTTTGAATTTTATGGCAGCAACACGATTTCCACGTTATCTACAGATCATAGTAGCAATAAAACGTTTCAAGAATCTGCTTCAAAGCTGATTTAAAATGGACTGAGCCAAAGTATGAAACTGTTCTGTGGTCGGTTTGAAATGCTTTTTAGAAACCACAAACACCACATTCTCATAATTATAGGGAGACCATCCCGCGTTTTATCAGCGCGCAGTTTAAAACCCTGCTTCTCTGATGGTATGGGGGTGCATTAGTGTTTATCGAATGAGCAGCTTCCACATCTGGGAAAGCTCCATCAATGCAGAATGTACAGGTTTTTGAACAATAAATGCTTCCATCCAGCAAAGAAGACCTCTGTTGTGAACAGGTGTAGTCCTCCATCAGATAAAAATGGGACAACACCCACCCAAAAAAAAAAAATTCCAGCAGCTGGTCTCCTCAGTTCCTAATGTTTGAATTCTGTTCACAGTGATCAACATGGACCTGTCACAACTTGTTTTGATGTGTTGCAGCCAAAAATTCAACGCTATTTTCCTTTTTTCTTAAATATATTACAATAGTTTAAACATTTTGTATGTCTGCTATGGCCCTTTGTGAATAAAAAAACGGGTTTATGATATTTGAAAACCTTTCCATCGTGTTTTTATTTACATTTTACACAACGTCTTCACCTTTTTCTGAACCGAGGTTGTAAGCCTCCAACATTTACGTCTCACTGCTTTCTTTTTTTTATTGTTTTTGCCAATTTTTTTCTTAAAATATATATATTCCATATATGCAAATTTATATTTCACAGTAATATACAAACTAAGTGCTTTGGGAGTGAAGAGGACTTGTGTGCTGATGGTTTAGTGAGGAGGAAGGATGTTATTTACCCCACAAAAAAAATACAAAGAAAACGGTGAAGGAAAAATGCGTGTCTTTGGTAAAAAGAATGCTCCCGTAATGCCACATTAAAAACTGGCCGGACACTAAGGCAATTTACAAAATGAATAATTTTTTTTTTTTTCTTTTGTAGGGAATAATCCCAAACTCTGGAGTTGAATTTATCCCTCACCGTGCTGTTTTAATTAAAGGAAACTGTGAGAGGTAGGAGAGAGTGTAAGAAACAGTTACAGGTGACACAGTGAATCTTGAAGGAGAAATCTGAATGAAAACATGTCTGGACATGTCAAATCCCCCCAGTTCACATAGTGAAAACACGCCACGTCAAGGAAGACAAGTGTTTTGCTGAATCTCTGACTCTTAACTTCTCGCTTGATAAGAGCCAACATGTCCGATTGAAGAAGTGCAGGTTCCATCAGCGACTCAGAGGGTTTTCATCCTGAACTCAGCAGAACAGGCGTCCATCTTTATTCGGAGCATGGATTTCACACATCTGGATGTTTTCAAGCAGCGCTAAATAAACCTTACACCGATTGATTTTTTTTTTTAGTCCTGCAAGGTGCCAAAGTGAGTGTCCCTCCTCGGCAGATGACGTTGACGTGATGGGAAAAACCTCAAACCGCTCGTGTTTGTCCCTAATCTCGCCTTTTGTTGCGTCCACCCCTGCCGCTGCTGGATCCTTTTTTCCCTCCCTCCTTTTTAGCCTCTTTCACCTGAGACTTGACCTCTTCCACGTACTCAGTCAGAACCTCCCTGTTCTCTCCGCTGGCCTGGATGCTGTGAGGGTTGGTGGGAAGAGCTAAGTATGGGTGCTGGGGCAGAGTGGGAGATGGGGACATGGAGTTATTGACCGGTCCCTCCACCTGAGCTCCGTTGGACAGAGCTCTGTACTTGAGGCGGAGCTTGTGGGGCAGCGCAGTGGTTTTGACCTCGGTTTGGAACTCGCCGAGTAAGCCAACAGCCCCCTCTGTCTTCTGATGGTAGCTGCTGATGTCTGAGGAGGAAGAGGAGGGGGATTCGTCATCTGTGGAGCCCTCCTTATCGGAGCTCCGAGGATCCCCGTCACTTGAGGAGGTGTCTTTAGTGGAAGAGTTCTCCTGATAGAAACCATCGGCTCGGGGGCCTCCCTCATAGGTGAGCACTGGGGGCTCTTCATCCAGTGAATTGAGGTATCCGTTGTGCTGTATGAAGGACTTGCCCTCCTCACTGTGAATAAGATCAGGGGCAAATGAGTTCTGGTGGCTCTCAGTGTATTGGAGATCGTTCTCCTGAACCTGGTAGCTGCAACAATGGATGCTGTCATGTTGGACGTTGTGATTGTACCTTTGCTGCAGCTCCTCAGAGGACTCAGTGTGACCATTGGTGTAGTCATACTGTGGTGAGTCAATGGTTTTCGTCCTCTCTAGCTTTTCGGCAACCTCTGTGATGGTCACTGAGCAGTCAGAAAACCTGGAGATGTGCTGAAGTTGTCTGCCCTGCTGGGAATGCTGGTCCTTCGGTCTCTGTGTTTCCATGGGGTAACAGCCGCTGCTGGACTGGTACAGGATGACGCTCCTCTGTGCAGACAGGGCCTGAGGAGCAGGACTGGAGCGCTCCATGTGGCACTGCTGCTGATAGTCCCTGGGACTTTCGGCCAATGGGGCGCTTTGCTGGTGAGACGAAACCAGAGTGGTGTGGTTGTCATGGTAAGCACCACCTGGTATTCCATTGAGAATCCCATTGGGGATTTCGTTGCTTTCCAACTCCATGCTTGAGGGCTCCTTTTTAATGTTGTAACCGATGGGCTCGGGGCTGTCTCTGGAAGAGCCGTCAGACATGTCGGACATGGAGCCCAGCGGAGAGTACTTGTGGAGCGCCGTGTGGCGGTCACCCCGGCTAGACTGTTCGGTTTCAGATGAGTCTGAGTTCAGCATCACCTGAGATGCACTGGAATACCCGCTGCTGGAGAGGTAGGTGTTGCTATTTGGGGTGCCGTTGCTGCTCCCGCTGCTCCCAGCATTGCCATCAGTGACGCTGTTGGAGATCTGCTGACTTTTCTCCATGTAGGAGGACGCACTGATGAGGCCGAAGCGCAGCTTGAGTTGGAGGAGCTCCGTCTTCAGACGAACGTTCTCCTCGTTCAGAGCCATGACACGGTTCTCCAAGACCATGTCATTGAGGCGACGCTTTTCCCTCGAGCGTTTGGCTGCCTCGTTGTTCTTCCTCCGCTTCTCCCAATAGGACGCGTCTTTCTTCTCATCAGAAATGAACTCTCGCTTACGGCGGGACGTCACAGTGGGTTTGGAGCCTTTAGGCTGCCGGCCGAGCCGAGCGCCTCCTTCAGGAGCAGGAGATGGGAGGCTGTCATTGTAGGGGGAATAAGTATCAACTTCCATGGTGCTTTTGTTGGTGGTGGATGGGGTGTGCAGACTAAGACTTTCCATTTTTCTTCCCTGCTGGGAACCAGAGTGCGACTCTAGCAGAGGGTAATGGGGGGAGGGGGGGGAGATGTGAAATACGAGCCTTCTTCTTTAATGACGAGATGTTTGACCTATGTCGGGGGATCAGCAAAAACTTCTGGACGAGGTATTTGTGCTCCTCGGAGAAACTGCCTCATTGATTTCTACTAATTGTGTTTCAAAAATCAAAAGTAAAAACTTTCAAGTGTCCAAATTAGCCAGGAAGATTAAAAAAAGGTGAAACTCCACAAAAACCTCAGACATTGAAATGGTGTTTTAAAACACGGGGATGAAAAAAGAAAGCAAGTGTGTTGTTTTGGGGTTTTGAGTTGTCCCTGCGACTTCCTCCGAGCTCTTTGGAGTCTTCTGGGAGGTGACTTTGAGTTTATTGGTGTCTGTCGGTTTTCAGAGCTTGGATGCCTGTCAGGTGGCTGCTCTGATTCTTGCCGTTTCACACAGAATGTAGGTTAGCAGATCGTCTTGGGACCTCCTTGAAGGTCCAGCTTCAGCGTTGCTGTTTGTTGACGTCTAACTGGGATTCTGAGACAGAAACAAGGAGAAACAGAGGCAAAGTGTAAGATAAGGTGGAACGTCACAGCGGGTCTTACTGACATTTATGTATAAATAAAACAAAGTTTTAACATATCTGCTCGTCTGTGTTTATACTTTTAGCAAAATATCTCACGAATCACCAAAGGGCTTCTAACAAAACTTTCAGAAAGTAATCACTGGCTGAACTTTTACAACTGATTAACTTTTTGAGCCAGCAGAGTTCAAGGTTGGCGCCACAGTAAAGCACACTTAACAGAGGCAAAAATGTCTTCTATGCATCCATTTTACTGATATCGAGCTTAAATTTGGTCTTTTGGTAGCTCTGTGAAATGAAACGGAAGGTAAGATTCTTTGTCAACATGTGGATATGCTGCTGCTTCTGCAGTCATCTTGTGAAAATCTGTCACGTGAGGAGTGAAGTATGTTAAATTAGAGCAACCTCAGTCTGCAGCAACGGCCAAATAAAGAACTGAGGGAGTCATGTCTGGATGACTTTTGTGTAGGAAGAAAGCCATGATGTGTAATTGTAATTTATGCTTTTTAGAGGGTGAGATGCTTTCATGAAAACAACAGCGTCTCGGTTTCTCCGAAAGCTATTGTAGCATCTAAAATTACACAAGACATGCCGCTCAGCTTCCTTATGTGTCAACATTGAGCTAAACGGGAAACCTTTCCCACTCCTCGTGTGTTGCGTAATAAAATTAAAAACAACGCACAGCATATAGATGTTGACAGCGGTGCCGGGTTATGTAATACGCTCTTGTTTTTTTTTTCAGACCTGGTTCTGTCTCCTCTCTGCACAGCTCTGCATAGTTTATGTGCAGTAATTAATAACACATCACCGCACTGAGCCCTGGAGAGCGGTACAAACATGAAAACATCTTTTTGTGACGCAGAAACACACGCCCAGAGCGAATGTAACAATCTAGGTCACTGTGCCGGCGATAACAAAGTCTGTGGTTTCAGTTTTTGTTCAAAAAAACGTAATGGAGTGGAGGACCTATGATCGTGTTGCCAGATTTCTCTGCATGTGCTGGCCTTTTTCAGTTTCAAACCCTGGACACAGAATTCAGTGAAGCAAAGTCCTGGAGACTCAAGAATATAAAGTAATGAGCAAAATCCACACATTTTCCCCCCTCAAAGCAAACGGCAAATTTGTGCAAACTACCATTTGTTTACCTACAAAAGCAGCCGAAGAGACTAAAAAAGGTCAACAATGTTCACGGAAGAGCGAGAAGTCTGACATGTTTTACGTTTCTGTACGTATTTATACCCAATAACTTTAAACTTACTGATCTAGAGGATCTGGTAAACTACTGGAACGAACTCTTTCAAACGGCACCGCTCGATACAGTTCTGGATAACTTTTCAAATGTTTAACTTTTAAACGGTGAGTAAGAATAACATACAGATACCGGTGACGCGCATCACATCTCGAGGAATGCTCCCTACAACTTTTAACCTCCTATTTTCTTTCTGAGGAAGGTATGATGGGCAAGAAATGATGCAGAGAAGCGTTGCTGAAGAAACAGGCACCTCCTTGTGGTCTTTTCTGCACAATGAAAACCTTGGAAATGAGGCCAGACGCAGAGACGAACAAAGAATCTCCTTCGAACACTCCGGTTATTCGGATACTGATGACACAAGACAGAAAAAAACGCCTTCTGGCTCAAACTAAACTTCTCCCGTCTTCTGCGTTGCTTCGTTCTGATGCCACATAACTGTTGACATTGGTGGAAGTTTTCCAGACTGTTTACAGCCCCCCCGGGGGGGTCAGTGACCCCATTACATAACCTCTCCTTACAATTGCAGACTGCAACCTGGAACAATTGGAAAGCCTGTTTACTGAACCGTACCTGTTCTGTTGTGACCTGTGGGTGAAACTTCTTGCTCGTCTTCAAAAATCTACTCTTATGAGCCTCTCTTGTGTAAAGCTGGAGCACAAAGGGGATCTGAACACAACATGTGGAAAAATGTAGGCTCCAGTCCTCCTCCCATCATGGATCGTTTTCATTAAAGCATGCTGGTGGAGGTGGAGAGAGTGCGAAACAAAGGAGGGCGGGAAGGAAGCACGCGCACGTCTGCGCTGTCCCACTGACCTAGAAACGACGCAGAGCCGTAAACACTCCTCCTGTCTTTTGACGGTGTGCGCCGTTAAATAGGTCAGCGGGGCTACGAGGGAGGGCGGGCAGGAGGGTATTAGAACTCACGCTAAAAATAGAGAGCGAAGCCCAGGGAGGGTGGGAGGAAGCCGAGGCGGATTTGGTGACAGAAAGAATTCTGTTGAGAGGAATTTTACATGTCTGCTGCTGCAGGAGGGAATGAAAGCGTCATCTGCCTTCAGCGTTATGAAAGCCCCAGGAATAGATCCTTTCTGTTGTCTTCATGCACCTTTTTTCAGCACATTAAGCTAACACGAACCAGTGGCAGATGGGAAATTATAGTGAGAGATGGCATTGACGTCATGGCACACACCCATCTCTGCAGCCAGATTCAACTAGCAGGCTCTCTCTCTCTCTCAGGACTGCATGGGGAGGGGCTGCTGTTGTTGCTCGTAGTGTACGTGCTCTGAATTTCTCCTGCTTGTGTAACGCCGTGCGGATCGCATAGCAGCAGATGCTACAGGTTACCAGTCTCCATCTTGGCTCGCCCCTGGGCGCTCGGAATGAAAAGCCATGCCTGGCAGATAAACGCAGCGTATGATGCATCGTGTAATTGGCCCTTTGTGCAATAACTGCCACTTAAAAATAATGATTCATCGCACCTACTGCAAGCAGAGGAGAAATCACCCCACCCCAATACCCTATCAGACACTTGCTGCTCGGGGGAGACTGCTTCACCTTTGACCCCTCTCTGAGGCAAGTGAGAGTAAAACGCATGACATCTTCTCACCCCCCCCCCCCCCCCCTCCTAAGTCTTTAAAACGATCCAACACCACACACGTGGAGGGGCCTCCATTTTAAACCCCACATCTTTGTGCCACAACAAGAACTGGGGGTCCAGACATTCCCTGTGGGACTGAAACCACAGAAGGCTGTAAACTGAAGGCAAGGAAATGAAAATATTTGCTCTTGTCAAGGTTTATCTTGTGCATTTGGGGGGTGGGGGTGGTAATCCAGTCCTCAGACCTGGTTAAAATAGTCCACCTCTTGCCCTATAAACCTCATGCGTCTCCTCACACAGATTCCAGTCTGACCTACATTCACAAAGCTGGCTAAGACAGACCCTGAAACCAGACCGACTGGCAGCAGCCGAACTCGGACGAGGGCGGGGTGTGTGTGTGTGTGTTTCCACACATTGCATCACAGGCTCACATGTTTAACTGACCTTAAAGTCTCACTAATGCCGACTTTAGGAAATTCACTGCAAAGTATGGAAACTGAACTACATCAAACGGTGCAGTTTGAGGGAGTTTCCTCCAGTTGTTTTCCAGCTGCAACTGAAATGCAGGTATGCACTCGATGTAAACAAAGCACTTTTCCCCCCTGCATACTTTACTTAACAAATCTGAGCATGAATGTAGCGATACGTCAAAACTGTAAACGGCTCTTCAATGGACGCCGTCAGAGTTGGATTTATTTTCAGTCACTTCGGCTGTTTCTGTAGGTAAACAAACACGTGGCTGCAGATTTTGCTCACAAATGTTTAACTCCAAGACAGATTAACCATTAATATGATAAAAACGTGCAGATTTTGTTCCTTACTTACATTTTCGACCGGTTTTCACGAGAATGTTACGAGCGCGTTTACCCTTCTGCTTTTTCTGAGCTATTCTTTTTCTAAGCAGGTTAAAAATAGCAGCTGCAGTTCCTGAGCAGCTGAGTTACATCACAGCTGAAAACATAAAAAAAAAAAAAACACACACTGCAAGTATTTCCAACATATATCTGCGTTAATTTTTTAATATATATAAAGGTTAAGTACAAATTAAAGAGGATTCAATTATAATGTGTGTCCCAGGAGGGAGCTGCTGTTTGGTCCCTGCTGGTTAAATCCTCCAACACTCTGAAAGCAAAACATTCTGCTTTGATGAACACATTTCCATAACCTATAACCTAAAAAAAACACAACTGCATCATTTCTATACACAAAAACAGAAAAAAAGATAAACCAATGCTTTGATTTACGCACTAAATCGGATGAAAATGGCACCAATCCTAAAAGAAAACACAAGATTTCGAGTAAAAGCTTTCAATCTTTTATGGTTTTCGAGGTTTTAGCTGACTTTTTGAGCTTAAATTCAAACCAAATGCTGAACAAGCAGAGAAATATCCCGAGCTGAGCTGGAATGGTGAACAAAGCAGCAGCGTGCCATGTGTCCGATTCCTGCTCCCTGGAAAAACACTTCACCAGGAGCCATTCCACCCGCCGTGACATTGACAACACGTGCTGCGATAATTCTGTGGTAAAAATCGAAGATAATGCGTGAACCAAAGGTTGAGATTTGCGTGTGCTGCGTGACGGGAAAAGGCTGAAAGTCACGCTCCGACGCGGGATCAACCGGCGGAGCGCCATGTGAACAATAAGCATCATGCCCTTGTCGGGTAATCTACCAGTTTATTATCCTGGAACAGATGAATAAACACGGGTAAAACCAGAAAACACGAGCCGGTCCAGTTCGGATCGTACCTTTCAGTCGTGCGTCCTGGCGGAGGAGGAGAAAAGGTTCAGGCTTCCCCGACAACAAAAGCCGTCTCGCTCCCGTTTCCTCCTTCCCTTCAGAAAACCTCCGGAAGAAAAGAAACGAAAAAAAGGGTGCGGGGGGGAACAGAACTTTCTGCCTGTGTCCCGGTTCGGATGAGTCAGCGGTGCCGGCTGGGTTGCAGTTTCCGTCTCTTGGCTCGGGCTGCCTGTCTGTGCGTGCGTTACGCGCCGCCGGACTCTTTGCTCCAGTTTCTCCGGCTCCCCTTCAGATATGTGTTAGTAGGTCAGCGGTTGCATAACAGCTCTTCAGGCTGCAGAGTCACGCTTGTGTCCCGGATCTCTCCACGACCCGACCCCCCCACCAGGACGACCCCCTGGATTCTGCGCCCCGTCTCCATTTAACCCCGTAATCCGTAAATAAAAGTACTTTAATACAAAACTTCACATTTCAGGCGCTGCTTTGTTCTTGAAGCAAAAACCAAATTAATCCTGATCATAAGAAATAATGATGATAATAAAATCTGCAGTTTCTTTCCCCTCATATTTAAGATTTATGTGTCCTCAAATGAAAAATGTTGAAGTCTCTGAAAACAAGTCAAGGATGACTGAAAACAGCTCTTTGGGGGACAAGAAGTCCAATAATTTTGCTGTGTGGACACGTTTTCAGCTCAGATTTGTTTCGTTAAGCAAAGTGCATTGTTTTCATTTAGTGCAGACCCGCATTTCAGCATCTCACAATATTTGAAAACGTACTGGAGTAAACTCTTCCAAACTGCACCGTTTGATTTAATCCAGGATAACCTTTTGATTTCATAGTTTAATGTAAGCACCTTTAAACTGAACAGAAACTATAAGAAAACTTTTTTTTCCTAAAAATCTGTGTAACAGCACTGTTGAAATTTTAGGAATACAATAAAACACACACATTTATATATATGTATATCATTGGACTAATATTTAAATTAGGAATTCATGATATTGGATTTTTGGCCGATATTCAACATGCCAATATCCTAAAACTTATTTGGCCAATAACCGATACCAATACCGATATTTTTCCCCTAGACCATGTGTGTCAAACTCAAGGCCTGGGGGCCAAATATTGCCCTCGTTGACATCTTATCTGGCCCTCAAGATGATGTGTGAAATGTAAAATACTTCTTTCTCTTGAATTTTTCAGTAATCTTTGATTATGATGTCAAAAGCACAACAGAGAACATCAAATGAGACCAATCAAACTCTTGTTGAGGAAGCTGTGATAAAAAAAAAAAGAAAAAAGTTTGGTATCTGATTTGAGTTCATGTAGTTTATGAAATTGGCCCTTAGTTTGAAAAAGGTTTAAATTTGGGCCCCCTTTTATAAGTGAGTTTGACACCCCTGCCCTAAACCTACTTACAGAGACTACATAGCTTTTTCTGCTGTGGAATTAAAATACATTATTCTGCATGGTCTTTGTCAGTTTGGCCTGATACCAAATGCAGATGTCAAAAAAGGGTCTGAAAACGATGTAACACTGTATAAATATAATATATATATAAAAACACAGCGCCTTTTATATCGGTGAGTTATTTTGATGGAATGGACATTTAATTTTATCGCTAATATCGTCCGATACCGATACATGCCGATAATATCGTGCATCCCAAATATAAGTGCATAATATTTTATATAATAATAGGGGAGCGGAGGCGCAGAGGCTAGAGAAGGTGGGCCTGTGATCAGAAGATCACTGGTTCAACTCCCGGTACTGAGAACATCAAAAATGTGGGTGGAAAGGTGAAGCACCCACACCTGCCTCCACCCTCATTTGCCCCATGAGCAAGGCCCTTAACCCCCACCGTCTGCTCGCCCGAGTGCTCTAGATAGCAGCTCTCTGCTCCACACAGAGGGCTGTGGTAGCTCGGTGGTCTGAGGTTGTGTCAGGAAGAATATCCAACGTAAAAATAATTGCAAGTCTTCGTGGGACTCAGTTTGTTGTGATGTTGTGACCCCTGAAGAAGGGAGCAGCCGAAAGAAGAAGAAAAATTATATAATAATACATAACCAATATATTTGCCTCAAAATCTTAAAAATTGCACATACAAGTTTAAAAATTGAAGACATAATCGTTCAAATATTAGCTTCTTGTTCTATTTTGCCTTTTTAAATTAAGATAATAAAATAATCTTGTTGTTGTTTGTGTTTATTACGAAATGTCTTCAGTGATAGATTGCGTTCATCCCAGTGTTTCATGGAATAAACTCTAAAGTGATAGTTCAGATTTTTTGCAACTGGGTTTTTAGGAGCAGTGGTGAACAATAACTATCTTACCTGCTGTAGATAGCTCTTTGAGAGGGCCTCGGTCGGGAGACGTAAAGTTTAATTTTGACTGGTCCGAGCAGGAGTTAAAATTAAATTGCGTCTTTTGTCTGTCCTCTCAGACCACAGCCGGTCCACAGATGGACGCCCACTCTGATGGAGCCCGATTCTGGTTCTGTTGGTAGTTTCTTCCAGTTTAAAGGAAGTCATCCCTTCCAACTGTCGCCTCCATGCTGCTCAGGAAACAAAATGAAGATTCAACCCGATCCGCTGGCTTCCTCGGATTACTTTTACTAAAACGTAGCATTTCATATTCAACTGTGAATGTTTTGTTTTCTCGCGCTAAAGAATGAACCGTAACCAGATTTAAATCCAGATCTGAATCTGATTTATAATTTGGACTCATTTTTAAGGTACCCTGAGAAGACTTGTGTTGTGAACTGGCTGTATATTCTGAATTAAACTGAATTTAAGTTGTTCAAAGATCTTAAATATTTATAATTGTTCCATGGAATCTCACTTTAAAGGATATTAAGTATCATTTGAGGTTAAATTAATAGTGAGATTTATATAAATGATCTGATGTATAGACATTAAATACTTTGAGGTATTTTCTGACCGTAGTCGGGTTTTGTTGAGTTTCTGTTTATATGGTGTTTTTTTTTTTTTTTTAATGAATTTGTTCTTGTTTTGTTGAACTTCACCTTGCTCTTGTCTCGTGCTTTGGTTGTGTTCGACCAAAACGTTTACAGCTCGATCATTTCTCAACAAAAGATGGTTTTAGTTGACGACTCTGGCGTAAAAGATATGCATTCAGTCGAGAAGTTACATATTTAAAGATGTTTATCCTTCTTTTAAACAAAATAACTTGAGCTTTTTTAACCAGAAACCAACAACGAGATAATCTAATGTCTAATTAAAAAGCTATTTATTGATAATCATTTTATTGATTTGTGTTTATTAGTTTGTTGATTATTTTCTTGCGTGTTTTTGTTTGTCAATAGAGGACATCAAAGCTGCTTAAGAGCTTTTCCATCATCCCACAAATCCTGTTGTTCCCAACACATATTTCATCTGCAGTTACATCAGATTCGTCCCTTCCCCCCACCTTGTGTGATATACCACACACGTGCACGCACACACACAGCACCGCCACCATTATTACCATGTTGGGGGAAACAGAGGCCTTGAACTTGTCTGGCTCCACCACCCCCACCAGTCTGAGAACCACCAACCCCCAACACACTCCAGCATTTCTGCAGCTGCCCCTGCATGCAGGCAGTCCCTTGGCAACGGTGCCGTGTGCCGGGGCCTGCTTAGCAACTAGAAGGCTTTCATGCACTCGTATATTTATTGGGGGCAGGTTATCAGACCAGAGAGGCCATGTTGATCCGCAGAACGGTGTCTGCAGCTGCGTGTGCGCACTGAAATGCATTTATTCTCTTTAAGTTATTTATAAGCTTCAACGGGATCGACTTCTGCAGGTTTATAAAATGCATCTTTGCGCTTGCTGCATGCGCAGAATGTGGTGGTAAACAAAAGAGGAGACCTGTAAAGAAAAAAAAAAAATGCATGAATGAGTGAGCAATTCATGAAAATTGTGCCCCCTAGTGTTGATAGAAGCTCTAATATAGAACAAAATGTTGCCTTTTAAATGAGAATAATCGAACCAGGTTGAAAAGTTCATGCTCAATAATCCAAATAAAAAATGCAACAATGCTCAGACTGGATGGTTTCTTTTTTTTTTTTTTTTTTTTGAAGCGTTGCATCCTTCATCCAAAGGACTTCCATCAATTCGAGGAGCCACAAACAAACTCAGTCCCATAAGCAGCACACTCACATAGTGGACCAACCGGTTTACTGGTGATAAAATGGTTTCTCTCACCCCGTCGACTCCTCTGAGGCAGCCATTGCCAAAGTGGTTCACTCCTTAACCAGGATGAGTGAGGTCCTCTGGACGGGTTCTTTGTTGAAATGTTTCCTCTGCTGTTCTTACATCACTCAGCCCCCTGTGAAAAGCAAGCGGCCATCAGGGCACTAACGATCGGTGGTCAGGCTGATGGTCCTCTTTTTCCATGTCAGGTAAATAATGCTAACTTATTTTTTATTTATCAGTTCAGTGTCCTGAGATGATTTCTATTGTGACTTGGTGTTGCTACTGTATATAAATAAACTGACTTGAATTGAATCCAACAACTGGTTCTGGCTGTCACCAGTAAACTGTCTGATCCACTATGAGAAGTTGCAGACTGAGTTTGTTGCAGCTTCTCAGACTGAAGAAGTCTTTTGGATAAAAGATGAAACGTTTCGACAAAGAGGAACCCGTCCAGAGGACCTGACTTGACCCATGTCCAGACATCACTGTGCGAGAGGTGGCGGACATCCTGGACAGGTCTCCAGTCCATCACAGGGACACATAGAGACAAATAAAACAAACAACCATTCACTTTCTCACTCACACCTAGGGACAATTTAGAGTTACCACTCAGTCTAACATGCATGTTTTTGGGCTGTGAGAGGAAACTGGAGTACCCAGAGAAAAGCCACGCATGCACAGAGAGAACATACAAACGCCACCCAGAAATGACCCCGGCCGGGATATGAACCACGGCGACATGCTCATTGAAAGGTAGCAGCTCTACCAACTGCGCCACCGTGCCGCCCATAACTATTATTTGTATGGGAAAAATAAAAGACAGAAAATTCCTTGAACAAATGGATATTTCCCAACATCTTTCATGACAGTTTTGACTGAAATCATTATAAGTTGAGTAATAAAGCCGTGGTTTGGTCAAAACATCACAAATGATGTGTTTGCGGCGCTCAGAGTATGAGATAACGTTTAGCTACTACCACACCAAACTGTAGCTCAAAAACTGCCTGAATGGAAGTCTTTTCTGAGCCACCAAACAAAACTAATTCTCACAAACAGCATACTCCATAGTGGGAAAAAAAAACTGTTTGCTGGTGCTAAGATGGCCTCCGAGGCCTGCCCTCTCCCC